CCAGCTCCACTCGCTAGGTTTGGTCGTGTTTGGCAGTAAAAACCTTAGTTTTTTGTTGTAAACTCCCCAGTCGGTCTTTCTGTTATTTCTAAACTCGCTGATCTGGAGGGTCCTAAGATCTATTTCGTACTAAATGTAACGATGGTCAGAGTAGGACTTTCCATTCGAGGCTTTCCATCTCTTGATGTTATAAGCAAACTTGTCAGAAGTCAGGCTTATATCCAGAACTTCTTCTCTGTTCTTTGTTATAAAGGTCGGCTCTGTGCCTAAATTCATAACATTGAGTTTATTTCCTAGAACGACGTCTTATAATGACTCACCTCTTTCATTAGTGTCCATACTTACCCACAGGGTATTGTGGGCATTACCCTCACAGGAGACAACCAAATGTTTGTTCTTGGAGGCCGCCTCCTTCACAAGTGCCCGAGCCTCATCTCGCGGGGCGACCTTCTCATAGCCCATTTAGGTAGAGGCTACCCAGAAGCTGGTTATATCCAGCTCAATGCTTGGCGCTACCAAGTCGCCACTGCTAAGCTTTGGAAGCAAGAAGATGTTTATGTTGCTTCTTGCTAATATTTAAGCCCGAGTCTTACCTGAGTTTTGTAAGGCAATAAGTTTAAAGTCCTTCATCCCGAGCACGCAGGTATTATTGCCGTGTATCCACGTTTTCGAGTCTTTCTTTTTAATGCCACAGGATGGTACCTTTGTTAAAAAGATTCTATAATGCGGAGTTCCCTGAGGCTGAATGCTGGTTTAATTCCAGCACTAAGCTCGGAGTCACACATTGTCGAATTTTCACTGATGGCTCCAAAACTAACTCTTGAAAACTNGGCGCTACAATTTTGTTTGGAAAAATTTCTAAAATTGTCCAGTGTAATTTAAAAAGCGATATTTTGTATGCGACCTTCTCATAGCCCATTTAGGTAGAGGCTACCCAGAAGCTGGTTATATCCAGCTCAATGCTTGCCGCTACCAAGTCGCCACTGCTAAGCTTTGGAAGCAAGAAGATTTTTATGTTGCTTCTTGCTAATATTCAAGCCCGAGTCTTACCTGAGTTTTGTAAGGCAATAAGTTTAAAGTCCTTCATCCCGAGCATGCAGGTATTATTGCCGTGTATCCACGTTTTCGAGTCCTTATTTTTAATGCCACAGGATGGTACCTTTGTTGAAAAGATTCTATAATGCTGAGTTCCCTGAGGCTGAATGCTGGTTTAATTCCAGCACTAAGCTCGGAGTTACACATTGTCGAATTTTCACTGATGGCTCCAAAACTAACTCTTGAAAACTGACTGAAATAGAAGTTAATAGGGATAAGCTTCACTTTTCTCTTGGACAATATGCTTAGGTCTTCCAGGCTGAGGTATTTGCAATCCTCAAGGCCATGAACTACAACTGACCACTTGACTTGGGAAGGCTCAGATCAGGCGTTCCTTGGTCTCACACCAGTTTAGGCACTCTCGCTACCGGCCGTCGAAGCCACGGTCAAAAATTGGGTGAACATATGGCTGTGCAGTAACTAGAAGTCTTTGAAGGGCTACAGTTGGGTAATGGCATGTTGCTCTCAATCTCGATGTGACTTTCTATGTATTTGCAGACGACTTGTGGGACTGTTGGCTGGTTACTTTTCGCCAACAGGTTAAGCACCTGACTGTGATAGCCATTCATGACAAACCCACTTGGCCCTCCTGCGTTGAAGAAAATGGGCTTTTGCAATTATCTATGAGGCTTTTGGCAGCGATGATATGAGAGCCGAGCACCTGAGCTCTTTACCACTTAACAAGCCATGTAGTAGATTTAAAATATATTATGGGAACACGAAAATGGTACAATGGACAACAAGTAGTCTGAGTGCTGTTTTCCCCACGTGTTGTTTCAACAAAAAATGGTCAACTGCACCTACTAACTGCACCTGGAAAGGGGGAGCTCAAGACCTTTTTCCTCTCATAAAAGTGAAATACTTAAGTCGGGAGGCTAGAAGTGCAAAACCCATATCCTCCAGTATTAAGCTTATCACATAGCAAACATGCAGCTGCTGCTAGTACCTTAAGCTCGCCGACTAGTGGCAGCCACATACTGATTGACATCAGAAATCGGTAATGGAAGCTCCGTAAGGACGCCGAAAAAGTCCAAGACGCACCAAGCTGGTCATACATGTAAGCAATGATAAAAGCAGGATCAATAGACACCAATGGGAGCGGATTCAAGCCACACTGACAATTGTATGTGGAATTACAAGTGAAGCGAGCCACACTGGAGAAGTGAAACTTTCGTTACACACATATGTATCTGTTTTGTCTCATAACCATTTACATACATAGTACATACATCTGCTTTTGCTTAAGGTTATATTTTTTTTTATCTAGATCCCTACCGCTACGCCTGTTCGCTCTAATTACGTTTATGTTATTCTGTTTTCCTTTATCTTCACATTTATCTTTATACAACAACAACAAAATCGATAGTAACATCCCATAAAATATCGATAACAAAACCGATAAAAATTTCTATAGCAAAATCGATAACAATATTGGTAGCAAAATCTATTAGACACTCGATAGAAATATCGATAAAAATATCCATAACAAAATCGATAAAAATATAAATAAAAATATCGATAAAAATATCGATAACAAACTCGATAACTCTATAACAAAATCGATGATATTGATAACAAAATCGATAAATATCGATAAATAAATCGATAAATATCGATAAAACAATCGATAAATATCTATAATAAAATTGATAACAAAATCGATAAATATCCATACCAAAATCGATAAATATCGGTGACACAATCAATAAATATCGATAGTAAAATCGATAAATATCAATAACAAAACTCATAAATATCGAAAACAAAATCGATAACTATTGATAACAAAATCGATAAATATCTACAACAAAATCTATAAATAGCCATAACAAAATCGGTAAAAAATATCGCTAACAAAATAGCTAAAAACATCGATTACAAAATCAATAACAAATCGATAAAGATATCGATTATTATATCGATAAGTTCTGAAAATTCCAATAGCAAAATTGATAACAATATCGATAAAAATTTCGATAGAAAAATCGGTAAAAATATCGACAAACAAAACCGATCAAAATATCGATTATTTTATCGATAAGTCGAGAGAAAATCTCTAAAATCCCAAAATAGTTCTCAGGATGAGTCTCTGTGTCTCTCTCTATATCCTTTCCTCTGTATTTACCTTTATATTAGTCGTTCTTCCCCTATCTTCATCTTTAATTTTATCGGTATCCTCATCCTCCACTTTGTCTTTACTTTTATGTTTATCATTTTCTTCATCTATATATTCCCCTTCACCTTTGCCCTTATAGATATAAGTAAAGTGTTTAAATTTACCTTGATCTTCATTTTTGCCTTTATCTTTACGCATCTTTGTTCTTGTTTTTATTTTAACCTTTGCCTTTATCCTTTTCTTTATCTATGTACGTAGTCACCTTTACTTTCATTCTTGTATTGGTCTTTTTCTAAGTGTTATTCTTTANCAAAATCGATAAATATTGATAACAAATTCGATAAATATCTACAACAAAATCTATAAATAGCCATAACAAAATCGATAAAAAATATCGCTAACAAAATAGCTAAAAACATCGATTAGAAAATCAATAACAAATCGATAAAGATATCGATTATTATATCAATAAGTTCCGAAAATTCCGATAGCAAAATTGATAACAATATCGATAAAAATTTCGATAGAAAAATCGGTAAAACTATCGACAAACAAAACCGATCAAAATATCGATTATTTTATCGATAAGTCCCGAGAATCTCGAAAATCTCTAAAATCCCAAAATAGTTCTCAGGATGAGTCTCTGTGTCTCCCTCTATATCCTTTCCTCTGTATTTACCTTTATATTAGTCGTTCTTCCCCTNTAAAAATATCGACAAACAAAACCGATCAAAATATCGATTATTTTATCGATAAGTCNCTCCACCTTTGCCTTATATATGTATGTATATAAGTAAAGTGTTTAAATTTACCTTGGTCTTCCGTTTTGCCTTTATCTTTACGCATTTTTGTTTTTATTTTTTACCTTTGCCTTTATCCTTTTCTTTATCTATGTACGTACTCACCTTTACTTTCATTCTTGTATTGGTATTTTTCTAAGTGTTATTCTTTAACCTTATAGTTATATATTAGCAAATGTTTGTTAAATTAATACCATATGCATACACACAAGAAGCACTTGTTTCAGCCCCAACCATTTCCGTTGCACCATTTCCNCTCTGTGTCTCCCTCTATATCCTTTCCTCTGTATTTACCTTTATATTAGTCGTTCTTCCCCTATCTTCATCTTTAATTTTATCGGTATCCTCATCCTCCACTTTGTCTTTACTTTTATGTTGATAATTTTCTTCATCTATATATTCCCCTTCACCTTTGCCCTTATAGATATAAGTAAAGTGTTTAAATTTACCTTGATCTTCATTTTTGCCTTTATCTTTACGCATCTTTGTTCTTGTTTTTATTTTTACCTTTGCCTTTATCCTTTTCTTTATCTATGTACGTAGTCACCTTTACTTTCATTCTTGTATTGGTCTTTTTCTAAGTGTTATTCTTTAACCTTATAGTTATATATTAGCAAATGTTTGTTAAATTAATACCATATGCATACACACAAGAAGCACTTGTTTCAGCCCCAACCATTTCCGTTGCACCATTTCCTTGTGTAATTTCCGTTGAATTTGCCAATTTACTCCCAACCAACNATACTAGCAAATGTTTGTTAAATTAATACCATATGCATACACACAAGAAGCACTTGTTTCAGCCCCAACCATTTCCGTTGCACCATTTCCGTGTGCAATTTCCGTTGAATTTGCCAATTTACTCCCAACCAACCAACCGCCGCTAAAGAAGTTTCACTTCAAAAAATAAAAACAGATAACCATTAACCGATCGCGGAAAAAACCGACAAGTAGTCATTAAAAAAGCTAACATCACAAACCAAATGTCGCCCTTATCATCTGTGTTAATCGTTGCACGATTAACCATCGTTAAATTAGTATTAGCCTATGTTTAGCACATCTATTAAAAGAAATTTTACTTATAATACTTCATACAAATGACTATTAGGATATACAACAATATGTAGTAAGTACAATAACCGATTAATAAGTAACAAACAAATCTAAAACTTCGTACATTTTATGCATATTTTTATATCTCTGCGTTTTCAACATTCGCGCTGCGTCCACGTCCCAAACCGCGTTCGAAGTCATGCTGCCGCGCCATGTGATTATTTAAATTGCCCACACATTGATATGACTTGCCACAGGTGGGACAAGCGAAAGGCTTCTCGCCGCTATGCACCAGCAGATGCGAGTTGAGATGACCGCGAGTAAAGAATGCTTTCTCGCATTGATCGCACTTAAAGGGACGCTCTTGCACCTTTACATGCGTCCGCATGTGGGTGCGCAAGTCCGATTTGGTGCGCCAACGTTTACTACACTCAAGGCACTCGAAGGTGCGCGGTATCGTTTCACCAGTGTGAATGCGCAGATGTGAGGAGAGTTGTGTGCGCAAAATGAAACGACGATCACAGTGTGTGCACGCAAATGGCCGCTCGTCCGAGTGCACGGAACGCTGATGGTAGCTGAGGCTGTGACGCGATGCGAAAGTCTTGTAGCATTCGTTGCATTCGTACTGCAAGCCATCGCCCAAATTATGCACGGAGATCATGTGCAATCTAAGCTGGAATTTGCGTGTGAACTTCTTTTCACATTCGGGACAAGGATGTAGTGATTTTAGCGACACATCTCGCGTTTGACAAGCATCCAACGAGGAGCAATCAGTATTGGAAGCGGAACTATCGGTGTGTGACGGAGGACTAACTGGCGTTTTTGGGTTAACATGTTTTTCAATGGTCGCTACAGCTGCCACCGACTTCATATCATTATCCATTGGCGTATCGTTCAAGAGCCGTACTTCCTCAACTGCTCTATCTGTGGTTTCTTTAAGTGCGGCATTTTCTTCATTCGGCGAAGCTAACGTACCATCCCACACACGTTTGAGGTTGTGCTCTTCCAATTGCAATAGATCGTCCAACATGGCGAGCTCATTCGGCCCTATGAAGGTAGTGGGAATTCACTTTCTATCAGGCTTGCGTATTTTCTAGTAAAACATTTGTATCTTTCGCTTACCTAATTCCCCCGTATGCTGCAATCCGCTTTGGCAACATCCAAAATTCTCTGCTGCATTGACGCCTTTAGTGTCGAGAAAATTTACAAGGCGTAGCGCCTCATCGATAGCACGTTCCGTATCTGCATAGCGCCGTCTCAGCTCACTTTCGCTTTCTTCGCAGCGACGCCGGAATTCCAAAGTGTCACGCAAACGCGAAAAACAATGGTCGCAAATTACAGCCGACAGTCCATCATCGAATGCAAGGTGCAAATTGGGCACGCAGGTGAGCAAAGCGGCGCGCAAGCCTACACCGCAGACAAGGGTGTCGCGCGCGTGGCAGTCTTTGCCATCGACCGCCGTATCACCGAAGATGTTGTACGTATAAGCAGGATTCTCTAGCAAACAACAACGGCAAACTTGAAAATTCGTCATCGCGATTAAGATAGCAATGAAAATTCGACTATACGGCTTTTATTGTTTCGAACTTTGGCACTTTTTCTCCGCTTAGTGGAGATTTTATTTTTCAAATTAATATTTTTTTTTTCGAAATAACCAAACCACTATGCTCTCAAGGCATTCCAGCCGTTACTCTCACAACCGCCGCCACCACTGCAATGCCAAATGAAAGCGACTAGGCAACAGCCGGTAGCCGCGGATCGAAAGCACGAGCATAATCTCAGGTCCCGAGATAGTGATAACGACAAGAGAGGGTGACGATGATTTTATTGTTGTGATTGCCATTGTTGTTGTGGGTTATAAGGTTCACTTGCCTTGTACCACGGCATCAATAGCAACAATGTTTAGCAAATGTTTGCGAATGATAACCCTTGACCTCTATGCGCAGTGCTTACGCTACGAAGAATCAGCAATATGTAACGGGAGAATCGCTAACCGGTGGCGGCTGGTCGAAGTAGATTTGCATGGAACAGATAAGCTAATTGATAAAGTATGCAGTACTTTCTCTTTTATTGTTGTTGTTAGTTATTTTAATAAGCATTAATAGATGCCTACATTTAAAACAAATGGTAGTATTTGGTGTTTTCAAATTTTTTAATTCATAAATTGAATTAAATTCGTTCAACTAATACATATGTACATACATACATACATATTTGCCTCCTGTAATTTTCCTCTCGTTTCATTTTACGACACTAATTAGCTGGCTCCTGGTTGATGATTTGTGAACATCTAGAATATTACTTGTTTACAATGGTTGTTTACACTAATGATTAGTTGTTGATGATTAATGACTAAGCATTCAATAATAAGTAAAGCATTTACTTGGAAACAACATCGACAAAATGTATATATTCATATATATATATATTTATATATAATTACATATTTGATGCATTGCCCTCAGTGGCAGTGCCCATTGCGAAATTTCGCATAGAGCAGTGATGGGCATACTTAAATACTTTTGTACTTAAAGTATTAGTTTGGGTACTAAATACCCAATACTTAGTATTTGACGTTGTCTAAATACTCAAGTAAAAAAAAATTTTTGATTAATATTATTATTAAAAAAGAAAAGCTTGGTTATTTAGGAGTTGTTAGGTATTCAAATAAAAAATACTGCCGTATTTAAGGGTTGCTAATATTCAATTAAAAACTAAGGTACTCTGGAGTGCAAAAAAAGGAAAGTATTAAGCAGACGATAAACACCCTGATCTAAAGTCCTCAGGTACTTCAGAGTTACAAAATACTCCCACAAACATATTAAGGTATTTAGTGGATGGTGAAATACTTTCAAATAAAGGAATTAACACCTCACCTTCCACTTACCTCACCTCAGCTCAATTCACCTCACCTAACTTCTCCTCACCTCAATTTAACTCAACTCAGTTCACTTACACTCAGCTCACCTAAACTCACCGCTTCTCACTTTAACTCACCTCATCTCAGCTCAGCGAAGCAAATCACAGATAAATTTTATTTCTTAAAATACCGAAAAAGTCCCGAAAATCCTGATATAGTTACGAAAATCTCGAAGTAGTTCCGATAATCTGAAATAGTTCCGAAAATGTGGAAGTAGTCCCCAAAATCCCGAGACAGTTCCGAAAATCTTGAAATGCTCCCTAAAAATTTGAAATATTTTCAAGAAAGCCGGTTCTCAATCAACTCCACAAAACTATTTAACTTTTAAACTATACTAATAATATAATACTAATATAAGTGTGAAACGAGAAATAAGGCCTGCTAAGAATGCTTCATTCCGTTACCAATGTACCAGATTTAGAATAAAAGGTTAAGTATCGTTTTCTCAAGTAAGTTTTAAAATTTATCTGCCCTTCAAATACATTTCTTTTTCAGAACAAAATTTTTTTTAAAGTCCAGATAAATTTTAAAACTTGCTTGAGAAAACGGCCCTAAATCAGTAATGTTACTAGACCTTGGCGCTATTAGCTGCACTTAAATTGCTTTGCAAATACTAGAAAGTAGGGTAAACACGCACCTAACTAGCTCAATAATGCGCTGAACAACTAAAGAAAGTCGTTTACATTTGTATCTGGCGCCAGGTAACAAAATTCCAGGATTACAACGTACTCTAAGTCCCATTTTGTGGCCACAGCCGCCAGGTTCTCAGTAATTAGCCAAAATTAGCTTTTTCTTGTCAGAATACCTTTAGCTCCACCCAGTCTTCGCAGTTGAGATTCCACCCATGTAATCCATTATGAAAAAAGGTAATCTAGTTTCATTATATACATACGTTCTGATTATTGCAGTGCTTAACCAGAAGTTAATTTTTGGTCAAGGAACCACAAACAAATCTTTAGGGATTTTCGCTTCTGCCATTGCCGCAAGTTAAAATTAAAATACTAAAAGAGAGAATCTAGAAGAATGAATAGTAAATTAAGTTATATTTTTTAAATACTTTTAATACATATTTGTTTTTTTTTTTTTTTTGTATGAGGGAAGGCGCTCTGAATTGAACAACACATAGAAGGGGAGGGAAAATCTCATAAGGATTGAGTACTTGAGAATTTGGCCAGTGTCCTGATGGCTATAGTTCACCTTTTTCGTCCCAATTTTGCTGCACACGATATGCCCATGGCTAGGTGTTAAACATGGAAATTTCCTATTGGCAACTTTCTTATCTCATTTAACAAAATTATATTTATTTGCAACCTAACTTGGCGTTATGTCAATATGTCGAAAGTCGCTGAACTTGCAATTTTTAATCAAATCAATTTCAACAAACTGATTTTAAAATATAATTACATTAAAAGCAGTGTGATTGATATATTTTTGTATTGTACAAAAACATGTGTGCATGTATATTTGATAAGGATAATTTGCAAACAGTTTTTAAAAGTGTAAAAGCCCTGAAGCTCTTCGTATTTTTCTTAGAGGTAAAGAGTAAGAGTGATCAGCGACTTATAGTTCTCTGTTGTATATTATATAAAACTATTGAATGCGAAGTAGGCCTATAATGTATGGTTTCCTAAGCCGTTTCAGATAAGAATGCGCCAAATGGGTAAAACTTTCAACCCTTTTCAAATGTAAACTTTATAAACGCCAATAAAATTATGTATATTGTTTTTTGCTACTCTCTACCTCAATCCGCTGTCAGGAACTTGCTATTTTTTGTGTTTAACAATTTTATTAAAAATAAAAGTTTTTACACCCTTGCGCCCATCTTTTACCTTGAATAACAGGGAGTCACAAAATATAAAAAAAAAATCTTTGTAAGTGACCTAGTAAGAGCTGGCCGAGGAATTCACGAAACTGTTTTCAAAATTTTTCTAACACTCAAATTCTCAACTTATTATTAAAAAACTATTTTCACATGACTTCCGTTACTAAACAATTTTTAGCTCGGTTATTTGTAACCAATTTGAAGTTTTTATATGGCTTTAGAAAGAAGAATATTTGTTCTATTTAAATAAATAATCGAGGGATTAACAACGGTGTCGTAAATGTCGTATACTTCAAAATCTTAAGTAAATGTTTAGAGAACTTGAAACGACAACCATTCATTATTTTTTTTTACTTTGCGAACCCCCTTAATATATTTTCTAGGCGTTTATATTTTACGAAATACAACAATACGATACTTACGACACCGTTGTGAATACCCCAAATAAGTTTTGGAAGCACATTGTAAATATGTATGTGGAAAATATTTAGAAGCAATCTGAAATTTACAAAAAATTGTATTATTTTTTCTACTTCAACAACATATTTGCCAAGATTTCAAAAGAAATTAGTATTTTTAATCATTACTTCGAAAAGATCGTTTCATTTCGAGTAAAACTAGAAATTAAGTTATGACATTTTTTATAAAGATACATAATCAATATTTTCTATACGAACTATTGGAATCTCAAAGTGAATCCAATTCAACCGATTCTAATTTTAACATTGATTTGTGAAAATTTTTTGTTCATGCAATTTCTGCCATGCAAAGTATGTTCGAAATTTTTGTATGGAGAAAATGAGCAACACCTTTCTGAAAAACCATACAATAAAACGGCATACTCGGAATGTTTCTAAAAAGTCGAGTTAAAATGCTCGACATTTTAATTGACTTTGTCAAATTTTCCAAAATTTTGTACAAAGTTTGAGATTTTGACTTAAATTGTTTTTGTTAGATAAAGAGCTTTGATAAAAAAAAAAACAATAAACATTTAATAAACGAAAGTAAAATAGTCAAATAATTCTTAAATGTCTCTTAAATGTCAGCATAAGCATTGTAAGCAGGAAGTTACTAAGTATTTACTTTACTTTTATTTTATTACTCTTTAAATACCAGTTTCTTCTAGTTTTAATTTTATAAATCCAAAATAACAATTATTTTTGATTTTTATCTAAATAATTTGCAAATAACTGTTATTTTTAAATAACAATTTATTTCCGAATTTGATTCTCGGTGGAAAATGAAATCGATTGGTATGTATCACTTAGTTGTTGAACATTTCCTTCATAGTGAATTTTTCAATTGCAGTTTTCACCAATAACTGTTCTGATTGTAAGTACTTTGAAATTACATTATATTTTTTTAAATATCCGTGACTTCGGGAAATTTTTCTGGTACACTTCAAGTGGACTTACATTATATAAATTTTTTTTTTCTACAGGCAACCGCTATTTTTGATGGAAAATATTGAAATTGGAGTAAACCATTTCAGAAATATCAGAAAAAATACCTCAGTGTTTTCATTTATTTTTGTTAACCTTCAATTTCTCTTAAAAACAAAATCCTGTTGTGATGATTTTGTTCGTGCAATACTTCAGTAACAAACATATTTTATTGCAAAAAAAATAAACCAAGGAAAAAACTGATAAGAAATGAAAATCCATAAATGAGTGAGTATTTCAATAAATAAATATACCCTTGGGGTCAGCTGATTAAGTTAACTGTCATTTTGACTAGTTTTGGCTACGTTGTTTTTTTTTTTATTTAATGTTTATATTTTTTTTTTATAAAATGCTAGCATATTACCTAACCAGACCCATATAAATCCACGTTTCAAACTTCGTTCAAAAATTATAAGAGTTCAACAAATTTCAGAACTCCAGAATTTTTTTGAAAATTTTGTAGCTCATTAAATTTTAGTAGGTTAAAGTACAGATTTCAAGGCGCTGGAAAATCGCGTGGATTTTTAATATTTTTTTTTTGGCTGACGGTGTTGTGTATTTTCTTCCATATAAAATATGCTCCAGTTTTGTATGGAAGAAAATGCCATCAGCAAAAAAATATATATATATATATTAGAAATCAGCGCGATTTTCTAGCGTCTTCAAATTTGCACTTCGACCTACTAAAATTTAATGACCTACAAAACTGCATAACCACAATATTTAAAAAAATTCGAAATAAAATTTTTGGGTGCAAATGTTAAAGTTTGTTGAATTATCATAATCTTTGTACGAAGTTTGAAATGTGGATTTATGTATGGCTGGTTAGGTATAGTGCTAAACTTTTATAAAAAAATATAAACGTTAAATAAAAATAAAATAAAAATAGCCAAAACTAA